GAGGTGGTGATGTGCAACGAGATCTTCGAGCCCCTGGTGGAGGGCCAAAAGCTCCCCGTGAACGAGCGCGGCACCATCACCGGCAAGGCACGGTGCACCTACTCGGGCGGCTCCGTTTACGTGGGCGATTTTGTAGGGAACAAGAAGGAGGGACACGGGAGAGTCACCTTCCCAGACGGCGACGTGTACGAAGGAGAATATGTCCACGGCAAGAAGCACGGGCCAGGCATGTATCGGTACGCCGATGGAGCCGTGAAGGTGGGATCCTACGAAGCAGGCCAAGACACGGGTGTGGGAGTGAAGCGCCTCGCGGACGGCGGCTACCGGCAGCTCGAGGCTGGCAAGGTGGTGAAGACGATCAGTGAGGAGGAGGCGAAACGGCTGGTGAAGCAGTACACCTTGCCGACACTGTGGTGAGTCAACCCACAGGGAACCAGTTTTGCAAAGCCAAGCCGAGCGCTGTCCCCTTTTTTACCGGAACTGACCCGGTTGCTGGGCGCCTCACAAGCCTTCCACTTTCAAGAAGTTTGAAGCGACGGAGGCGCCAAAAGCGGCCGAAAGCGACAGAAAAGCGGCACTGTCAGCGGCCAGCAGCGACGGTTCATTTTTGTGGAAGTCACCGACAGGGGACGTAACACGAATTAACACGACCACCACTCACCACGCCAAAAGAACGATCATCCCACATGGTCAACACCATGAACTCGCTGTGTGCGTTTGTTCCTCGTTTCGCTCACAGGTCCCCTGACGTTCGCGGCGGTGCGCGCCTGGTGAGCCAGGCGGGGTGGGTTGTGCGTGCGGGGGCGCTTCGTGTGGGGATCGGCTCTGGTCTCGAGACGTGGTTCCTTTTGGAACTCAGAGTCTCACGTGTGGGTCGAATTCCCAAGAGAGGTAGGTGAAGTGACCGAACGACTAGGACCCGGAAAACCTGGAGGACCTATGGGATAGTCGAACAGTCGGGTCCTGACCCACCTCTGTTGGAAGTCTGGGGCAAACAAAGCCGATGTCGTGTGACTGCAAGTCTTTTTCCATGGCCTGGGGCCCCGGCCCGGACCGGTCTTTGTCGTTTTCATCACCTCAAACGGAGGACCTCATCGCCCTTCGTGACCGTCTCTGTGACCCGACCGACCGCGCGTGGCTGGTGACCGAACATCTGGGGAGAGCAAGTTCGGTCACTTGGGAACGGTTTGAAAGGAGAAGTAGTGGGGTTGTCGATGCTGAGACGGAACGTCCTCCCTTTGATCTTGATGGTGTTCACCTTTGTGTTTGCCTGGATGTTCCAAAGATGCCGATCAAGTTATATAGGCAGAACTTGTGCACAGTTGGAAGATCCAAGTTTCAATGTTAAAGCGTGTCCGACGGATCTCGTCGTGTCTTTTTCCTGCTTGGAGGGTGGAATTGGGATTGGACCCGCATGTTGACAGCAGCTGAGCGGGGAGTTTTCTTCAAGTCGAGAGGTCCCAGTTTGACTCATTTTTCACTCCGAACTGGTAGCTAGTGGATTATGACAGCCGAGTGGTACCATGGTGAACCTTGACCGGTTTTTCGAAGGACTCAAAGAAACGGGACGTGTTAGGGGAGCCTTCTGCTGCCGTGTTCATCGCTGCCGTCTTTCTCGGGTGCCCGAAGGACTGCGCGGGGGCCCCACGCGGCGGCAGTGGACCTCGCAGCGGGAAAAAGGGGAGGCGGGGGGGACCTCGCAGAGCGGCGGAAGACGGGCGAATGTACGGCGAGTCGGATGCTTGTAGGCTTGTTATGGCGCTTGTTATGGCTGGTCGCCGGCGAGTTGCATGGCTTCTTGTCATGGCTTGGCATGTCTTGTCAAGATGGTCGAAGAAACTCCATCGAAACTGGGTCGAAGTCGTCAGTCGTCATGAAGCTGGGTTTCGAGTGAACTTCGAGGGATCATGGCAAGCCGCGGGACACTCTTGTGGGACACTCTTGTGGGACACTCTTGTGGGACACTCTTGTAGGACACTCTTGTGGGAAGGTTTCTTGTTTTATTGCTCTTCTTGAGTCACCTGAGTCTTGAGATCTGAGATTGACGTTCGAAGAGCCATCATGTGTCTTACCATACACCTGTGTCAAGACCGAATACTGGAGCAATCCGATATGTCATGTCCGATATGTCGTGTGCGGCATGGATGACTCATGCGATATGTTGTGTGTGGCATGGAACGGTGTGAGTTACGGATTACAGATGAAAGACAAGGGACTTATCACGAGCACAACATCCGCTCGTTCCAAAAGGCCAAGAAAGCCACACTTGGCTTTGGCCCATGAATTTCTCCTCTCCTTCCCCACGACGACGAAATACGTACCCGAACCGCTTGCGGAAACCCAACCAGCGGCCCCTCCGGTGTTCGGACCCCCCCGCCGTGTCTCAAAAGGCTTGGCTCAAGGGGCGGGAACGACAGCGGTCGGGGTGTGTGGATGATGCTGGAACGACATGTGAAACATGAAAAGGGGTCAATGCAGATAGGTGGCATCATATCGAATTACTATAGGGTCTGTCCGAACTGACCTGTAACAGTATAAACAATTGTTACTGTTTTTGAACAAGGCCATAGACCCAACGAATGACCAGAGATCCAGATAGGTTGTTCATGGCATCGAGGAGCGACCCAAACTGCAATGTCATGGCAGTTTGGAGTTGGAACGATATGTGGTGGTTTCGTTTCCTTTTTTTTTACCAGGTTGGAATCAATCCCAAAGACTACAGGAAGTGTCCTTTGAGGCCCTTTTCAGGAATACGTCCCACCAGTTGGTTCATAGTCTTTGACTCTCAGGGCATGTGCAGCGTTGGAGGAGCTGTGGCGGGCGGTTACATCCAAGATACAAGACCATTCTTCCCCGCAAAGCACTCCCGCAAAGCAGTTCTTGAACGAACCTTTTCCGCCTCAAACAGTTCAATCGTTAACACACTCGTTGAAGCACAAGGTCTTGCACCCTCAGGCCGGTGAGGCCGGTGATGTTCTCTTTTCTAAGTGGTCATCACCCTCCCTCACCCTCCCCCGCCGATGAGCGAGCGGCCCGGTGGTCCGCCGCCCTTGATCTTGACGCTTGGACCAAAGGAAGGGTGGGGGCTTTAGCGTGGTACAGGGAGGGCAAACGGGCGGCGCACGGTGCCGGGTGGAATTGAGGCGAGTCGTTGGATGCCCCTAGCCGTCTGTTCGATCATCCACAACAAGGTTGAGCTATGTTGAGCCGGTTTTGGTCGTCTAAAAATCCCTGGCAAAAACAAGGGTTCTTTGGTAAAGACCGTTAAAGCGATGGTTGTTGGAAGCCCAGGGGGGTGATGTTGAATCCGTTGGTGGGATGGACCCCTCGCAAGCCGGAAGAGACACCGGAAGATAGCGGGAGATGGTTTGCTGTGGTTTTCCAGTGTTTTTTTTTGAGTCTTATCTTCGATTGGTTGTGAAATATCTTCGATTATTATAGTGACTGTAGTGACATGTGCTGAGTGGTTGATTGGGCAGCACAGTGGCTCCAATGCCCATCGATTGTTTGATGGGAGAAATCTGTAGGCCCTAAACTGGAGGCGATGAGCTGGGTTTGAGATGTTCCATGAGAGTAGTTTTATGATAAAACTGGAGGCAGTTCTGGTTTGAGATGAGATGGAGTTGAAGACAGTTCAGAGTTGTCGCCCCGGCCGATGAGCTCCAAACACCCTCGGTCCCATCCGCGTCCCGTGCCCACCCGACCGGTGGTCCTCACGGAGGCCCTCGCTGGGCTTCGTGTTGCACGAGGGCGGGCGCATTGCCGAGGCCGCGACCCGGTTCGGTCGGTCCGCCCGGTGCTGGGGTGCTGAGGCTGGAAGCAGCCCTTGGCGCTGTTGGAAGGGTTTGGTCGACGGAACTGGACGTGTTTGGGGTTTTGGATGGTTTGGGATCAACTCAAGGGCAAGTTTTTGTGCATGTAGCATTCAGAGATATTCAGATGGTATTCCCTACACACCCTTGATATGAGATAGTGTACAACGGCCAATTCCCTACACACCCCGTGCCAGTCGGCCGACGAGGTCACCTGCAGCGGCAGCAGCTCCCCTGCCCGGGGCACTCGGACGGACCGTAGGCAGAGACTGCGGAGGCGGTAGATGTCGGTTCAGGCTTTCGCTGCGAGCGAAATGGGCTGGACTGGACTGGTTCAGGGCCTGGGAAGGGGATATTATATAAGTACTCTTTATACGATCTGGGTTCATCTGACTGGGAGAGGTTTTGATTGATGTTGGACGCGGGCATGGGATGTACGTGGCATCTGAGAGGGGTGTCCATGGGTTAGTTTGCTTCTTTTTTTTTTTTTTCCCCAGGCTTCGGTAGCCTCTCGTGTGCAAAAAGAGTCTTCCGGCAGCGTCAAGCACAGAACGGCTGGGCTGCAGGGTCAAGCAGGTTCAGGTCGACGCACTTCCATCACCCAGACCATCCACGGACGACACATTTCCCGATCAGTTGGGGTGGTGCCAGGGGGTTCAATCTAGGCATAGATTCCAGTCCCATGGATGGCCCTGGGTAAGGCGGCTGATCAGGTGGAAAAGACAAGGTGGCGCTCCACAGGCCTTCTCATTCAGGTGTGAAAGGAAGTGGGAAACATCAGCCTTCAGTGTTGCTCGAAGATTTTTGGACATGGCAAGACTTAAGAGCTGTTGAGCTGTTGGCTTTACAGGTTTCAGACATAGGAAGATGACCAGGTTACCAGGTTTGTGTTCTTTTTTTGGTACATTGCTACTTTCGCCCGCTGCGCCGCACCCGGTGGACCGCCCGAGCGGACGCTGAGGTGGGCGGCGGGAAGCTCTCGGCGCGAAGCGCAGGCGCGCCGAAAACAGTGGTGTGGGCTGGCCTTTGGAAGGGCCATGGAAAAAGAAAACATCAGGCCAAAGACCAAGACCAAAACGGCCCAGAGAGGTTCAGTGACGGGCTTAGGACACCATCACCTGGCATCATCGAACTCATTCCGGTTCTGACCCGACTGCCCTGGGCGGTCCCTGGGCCGCGGCACCCGGTCGCGGTCGCGTGGCGCCTCCCAGGAGCGCCCAGGACCGGGCGTCGCCGCAGCGTGAGGCCAGGGGCGTCGAGACCTGCGCCGAGCGGTTGAGACCACTGGTATACACTCCCACAGAGGTAGCCAGTGACCGTAGATAGGACCCGTCACCAGCAGTACCCAACTAGGATAGTCGAGCTAGGGTTCTGACCCACCTCTGCTGGAACTGGTATACACTGGATCTGACCAACTGTTCGGTGGGTCAGGACCCGACGCCCTTCGACGCTGTTAGGGGCCAGGGTACCCCAGGTGACAGGTCCTAGTTCAGGTCACTGGCTACCTCTCTTGGTGACCCGTCCATGCCACATTTCTTCCTCACTTCTTGGGCTGGTTTCTTTATTGGATGAAAAGGCCGTGCAGTTCCAACAGTTGGAAGTTCCAACAGTTCCAACAGTTCTCTATAGGGCCGGCCCTTCTTGAGGGTGTTTTTTTTCCTTCCAAAGGCTGGCGATCCTCGCGGCGGGTTCGAGCCGACTGTCAGCCGCCTGGATCTCGCTGTCCTCGCCGTCGATCGTGGTTCTGGGAAAGGACACGAAAAGAAACTGTTTCAAGGCACCGCACAGCAGTGAGCACCAAGCGTTGGACTCCAGACCGCTTAGAGGGCAGTGTGGTGTTTGATGGGGCAGAGCGTAGCACAGCCGCCCGTGAGAGAAGCGATGTTCGATCTCCGTCCTCACCACGAGTACTATGCTGCCACCATCGCCCAACCCCCCTAACCCCCTAAGGAACATTAAGTAACCTCATCCAAACCATTCCAAACCTGTGGTATTTCTAGACCAGAGCTCCCACTTATGCTACACCTTCTAAGTCATTTCACAAAGTCAAACAAGAGTCAAGCTCAACAGGGTCTTCTTTCCCCGCTGATTATCCCAAGCCCGTTCCCTTGGCTGTGGTTTCGCTAGATAGTAGCTGGCTAGGGACACTGGGACTCTCGTGAATCCATTCATGCGCGCCACTAATCCCAGACACTCCATGGGACTGGCATATCTACCTACATTGACCCCTTTTCAACCACCCCAACTGATCGGTAACTATGCCAGTCCCATGGAGTGTCTGGGAATTGGAGGACGAGGCATTTGGCGACCTTAAGAGGGTCATAGTGACACCCTGGGAGTCAAGTCGACTCTAAAAAGAATGGTCTGACGAACGGGGACCTGAGTCTGGGAACTTCCTTTACTTCAGCCGGTCAACATATAGTCGAACTGGACTTCTAGGGTCCACTCCACTTCCCTCACTGGCACAGCTAGCCTCGCGCGTTTCCCGCGCGCGTGTCCCGCGCGCGTGGCTCCGGAGGCCCAGCCTGGGCGTGGTGGCCAGGCCCCGTGGCTCCAAGGCTCGGCCGATAGGCGCGGCTGGACGGAGGGAGGGGCGGACAGGTCACCACCAGGCTGCGAGCGACCTGGGCTGGGTAGGGCTGATGAAGGAGAGAGTTGAAGGGTGCTGCAAGCTGCAAGTTGCCAAAGGCTGTTTGTGTTTGAAGGGCGAGTTCTGGTGAGGGTTTGCTCGGTTCAGGTGGCATGAGGATTGTCAAGATCTTCGCGGTCCAGCTCAGAGATCACTTTTGACAACACTGAAATTCGCTTCTTTCAACGGCAGAGTTAGACAGTTAGAGAATGTTAAACTGTTTCGGAGGGTTTTGTCGAGAGTGTGCAATCTGTGAGGACGGTATACAAAGTCAGGGTGACATTGGATTTCATCATGTCGGCGGATTTCATCATGTCGGCGGATGTCATCATGTCGGCAAAGGGCTTTATGACAACATTCTCCTTACTATCGCATTTTCCTCCTTAGACACCCCATCATCCGCAATCCCGCGACCTGCAGATCATACCATGTACAGACGGACCATCAACATGGTCGTCCCTTCCATGTGCCGTGAGGTGAGCAGGACTTGGGGATTTCCCACAAAGACGTCCTGCGCAGCGCGGGCGGAGCCGACGAGAGCCACGCGCAGAATGCCCAGGCGGGGGGGGGTGATGGGACGACAACGAAAGGTCGGAGACGACCTTTGTTGAAAGGTCACATTTGGACATAACTTGGCAAGTACATGACGGAGGTCCATCCGAGGTAAGGGCCTTAAGGGTTCTTTATTTAGCGCATGATTCGCATGATATGAATCTGATAAACATGGCAAGGTGAAGAATTATGAACCCCATCAGTAAAGCAGGTACGACCCGCCCTGAGGGGTCACTAACCGTTTGCGAGACAACCACAACCTGGGGACTGTTGGGAGGAGCTCCCTTGCTTCATGCTGCCTCACATTGGAAGGTGACCACAGTCAGGGAAGGAATCCGATTCTTGCAGAGCTTCCGTGCCCCAAACCCCTGCAAGATCTGCGTCGCAGGGGCTCCGAACCAGCCGATCCTTCTCTCAGTGCCCTGACTCCAAAGACATGGACTACGTGGTGTGGAGCATGGATGAGTATACAGGTGGGGGGGTGGAACATGAGTCTGTTGGAAGTTCTGAGTGTCTTTTTCTTCCCATTTTCGTGTGAGGGTAAATATAAAGGACCCGTCACCTGGGGTACCAGACTGGGATCGTCGAACTCGGGTTCTGACCCACCTCTCCTGGTTGAACGCGAGATCGTGGTGCCAGGCGGGTGGGGCTCCCATCAGCGAGGAGGAGCAGATCGATGCCTGCCTGAAGCTAGCGGCGGAGGCGCGTAGGGCTGGCATTTGTGAGGGCGTGGGGCACTTGGGCGTGGGCACACGTGGTTATGGGAAGTATTTCTGTACCTACGGAGGGGCACTCACAATGGATAGAATAGAAGATCATTGAAGTCTACAAAGTCTCCGATGAGACGGTGTCTCAAGGAATCTCCTGGAAACTCAGTCCTTTCAATGGTGATTCAAGCCCCCAAAGGTTCCTCTAATCACCGGCTTAGTCATCACCCACCAGAACCCCCGACAATGCACATCACCAAACACGCACGGTGCCCTGCCTGCGCGCGTCCAAACACACGGTGCCCTGCGCGTGCCCTGCGCCCGACCGATCCGCTCAGGGCGAGCAGGTGAGAAGCTCCTTGGCTTTCGAGCGCATGGCCATCTACTTCGCACAGCTGAAGCCTGGATCGCTGGTCTTAGAGGCTCCGTCTTTTGGGGAGGACGGGGTGGGGCGGAGGATGGCGGAGACCGCAGTGGTGGGGTGGGGTGGGGCTTTGCGGTATTTTGATGCGGTGAGCCAGTCATATCCTCAATTGGGTTTGATCTATAAGAACAATAAGGGGATACGGTTGCATGCCAACAGAGGTGGGTCAGGACCCGACTGTTCGCCTATCCCAGTTGGGTACCCCAGGTGGACCAGGTCCTAGTTACGGTCACTGGCTACCTCTCTTGGAAAGCCGTTAAGAAGGGTGAGTTTTGTCGCTCCTTCAGTCCCTTGCTCAGGTCGCTTCTTCGGTCCTTCTTCTGGGTGAGAGAGCAACACCAACCTTTGCCTGCAGAAACCGCAGCTTGAACCCGATCGCCGACCTGGACGACCCTCGATGACCTGCTCCGACCCCTGCTCCGACCTGCTCCAGGTCGGCTCGCGCGCGGGAGAGCTCACGCTGATGTTCGCGCAGCGCTTCCCGGAGCGACCGAAGGGGTGGGGGAGTGAAGAGAGGTAGCCAGTGACCGTAAATAGGACCTGGTCCACCTGGGGTACCCAACTGGGACAGGCTAGTTCGGGTCCTTCAACCTCTGTTGGGAGTGAAGAGGTGCTGGGTGACGGGTCAAGCCGAGACGATGGTGCAAACAGCCAACTTGGAAGCGTCATCGTGAACCTGCTATACATGCATCATATATATATATATAAATAATATTAATATATATATATATTATATATATACCTGGATCTTCCAAGGTCCGGTCACCACCTGCGACGTTTTTCAGTCTCCAAAGGCCACCAGAGGAGACTTGTTGGAGGGTGCTGGTAATCATCATAATTTATAGTATTATACAATATTATACATGATTGACAAATCCTGCATAGATCTCTTCAGCACTTAGGAGGAGTCCTTGGATTCCGAAGATCTCTCCTATACCAAATCCACCCCCACCACCCGAATTGGTTCTCCATTCTCCCCCTTCGATCCGTGCCTCCACGCTCCATGTGCCTCCGCGCCTCCGCCTCTGCGCCTCCGGGGTCAGGAGCTGTATATCCTGCCGACTGAAGGCACGGGCGAAGCCTCGCCGAGCCTCTTCTTGCTGCTCCAGGCGGTGCTGGGCGCGCTGTGTGTGGGGTGTTGGGGCGCGGTGTTGGGGTGTGGGGTGTGGGGTGTGAAGGGGGGGCGTTGAGGAGGGCGCTCATTGCAGCCGCCTATAGAGGGTTCTGACCCGGGATTTGGCATGATTCCGGCAGGTTCCTGTTAGAAGATGTTGAAGGCAAGTAGATATCCAAATAGGTCTCAAAGCAAGGATAGGTCAAGATCAGGATAAGCTTATAAGCAAAGGGGCGTTGGATCTCTTGTAGGAGATTCTTTGCAATGATACATGTCCTTTTCACAATTCATGCCACTATGAGGGCCTGTAGCCATATATGACTACAGGGGGTCAACAAAAACAAGCAGTACAAGCAGCCCAAAACACCAAGGGGAGAGAGACATTTGTGAACATCTCTGAAAACACCCGTGTGAGTTCGTTTGAACCGTTTGCATCGCATGGGGAGCTCACATACATGCCGGAAGACTGGTTACCAAGTGACCTCATCGAAAGAGCCCGACAAAGGATGCAATACCATGCTATACCTGGATCGGACCCGTTTATGCTAAAGTTTTCGCTGTTTTTTAATGGATGAAAAGGCGGACCTTTGTGCAGTTGGAAAATCCATGAAAATCGAGGTATATATCATCCATTTGCATCCATTTGCATGCCTCGGCGCCCATACCGCCGACTTCTGGAACTTTGACTTTAACCGTTGAGGGAAAGCCTTTCTGAGAGACCCTCCCACCACCAGAACCAGACACTTTTTCTTTCATCCCACCTTCCAACAAAAAGGATGTGAACCCTCCCCACTCCCCACCCATCCCCCAAACCCGGAGGATGAGCGTCGAACCCAAGAGGGAGCCCGCGACCCCGGCGAGGAGCGCCTGGCGCTGCGGAGGGACTTGAAGACCAAGAGCAAGCGACCCAAGAAGCGCACCGCGGCGCGGGGCGCCCGGTTTTGGGACGGTCGGGTCGGAGACAGTACCGAGCCGGTACTGGGTAGGGAGCCGGCGATGGCGATGGTGGGAGGGGAATGGCAGGGTTGTGTGCAGATGGAGGGCTTCTTCTGGGAGCTGAGCTGGATGGACACTTCCGGACATCGTGCCTTTTGAACGACCCGTTTTCTTTTGAAACAGGCCGATCGTCCGCTTCCATGCGAACATCTCTCAGGGTCGGCCCGGCGACGTGCCCCGGCCCCGGCGACGTGCTCGGCTCGGCTCGGCTCGGCTCCGCTCGGCTCCAGGGGTCGGTCGGGGCGGGAGGCGAGCGAGCATGGTGCTCGGAGCCGCATCCTGCAGCCACTTGGAGTTGGAACAGTGGCGTGGGCGATGGAGCACGGTGGTCCAGTGGACTTCTGGATCTGCCTCACAGAGAACTATACCATGCAGTGTATACATGTATATACTAAGATTTCCGACCAAGCATGGGGATGCATGGGGTGTAAGAGGGTGTGGTGAGAGCATTGGGGTGCACGAGGGTTGCTGAGGGGTATATAACGGTATATAAAATCATTTACTTGAAGATTGCCACAGGAGGGACGCCGTTCGCTTCTGGCAGTAGCACGTAGCTTGCATTTGCAAGTCGCAATGTCTTCAATATATGTTGACTCCAGTCAGATTAGATTGGCATAGATTGGCATGTTTGCCTTTCAGAACATACTTGCGATATACAAAACCAGTTTCACAGCTCCATCACTGGTTTGACCGCCAGTGTTGCCGGTTTGTCAATGGATTTCAATGGTTTTCACATTGCCACAGGTTTTTGACTGGTAAAGGAGCAGGAGAACACCTTGGGATTGAGGCAATGGGATGGCCTTTTCCCATCGATGCGAGAGATTCCAGGTCCTATCTTTTGGATTTCATTTTGGTTCCCAAGGATTGGTTGCTTTTGATTCTTGACCTATTGAAGAATCCATGATGGATCAACAAACATTTACCGGCACCTTCCAAGGGGCGTGCTGTCTGGAGGTCCCTTAGTGGTGGTGGGCTGAGGTTTCCAGCCAGGGCCTTGAAAAGCTCCTTGAACAGGTCCTCAAATAGTGTTGTTGTATGCCAGACTGGAGTAGAAATGAGGTCCAACCTCACCTGTATCAACCTGACCAGGTCAGGAATGAAAGTCCAACCTCACCTGTCTCCTGGAGGACTTGGAGGGTGCTGGCGGGTCCGCGGGTCGTGGTCCGACACCTGGTGAGGCCCCGACACCTGGACGGCGCGATCGCCAAGAGCCGGGGACGCCGAGAGGAGGAGTGGTGGGGCTTCGGCAGGGGGGGAGAAGTGTAGACCAGCAGTTCCAGAGGATCAGGGGTGCCTATAGAACATCCAGTCACATCCAGTCACTGGATGGGATGACTAAAAACCATGAACCACATGGAACTGCGGTAGAGGGTGGTGGCCGGTGGAGAATCTTTGGTCCAGCAAAGGTGAGTGCCAAGAACGCGTAATTACCAGCTTCATGCACCCAAAGATCATTAGTGCCAACTACTTCGATCTTGCTCAGTTGGTCAGCCCCCCCCCCAAAAGAGAGCGCCATGCCGCACACCTGTCCAGATCCTCTGATCCGGATCCCGGATGGCCAAGCCGCTTGTCCAAGCCTCATGGCCCGAGGCTGGCGGAACAAGCTGACCAACCAAGAGATCAGCTGCATCTTCTGCGTCAACGCCTGGACCCCGACAAACTCGGCGGACTCGGCGGGCGGGCGGCACCTCCGGGTTTGGGTCAGGAAGGTCGGGCGGGTCCTCGGGGGCGGTGGCACAAAGCTCAGCCAGGGGTTCCCCGGGCCAGGGGGTGGTTGGTTCATCCCATGTTCACCCTCTAAGGAGCTATGATTGGACACCCCGAAACGGCCCAAAACCGGGGGCCCTGGAATGAGTTCATTCACATGATGTGGAACGGTTTGTAGTCGTGGGAACCTGCGCAAAACTGCCTGCGACCAGGCACTTCGATGTCATACAGAATGGCAGCATGCACCATCAGATTTCGCACTCTCTTGGGAATGGCTTGGAATCCCAAGAGAGGTAGCCAGTGACCTGAACTAGGACCCGTCACCTGGGGTACCTATGGGATAGGCTAGTTCGGGTCCTTCCTCTGTTGGTCAGGATGCCAACTGAATAGCAGGTGACCATCATTTTCCGCTTGATCTCCATGAGTTGTTGCTTTGGGATCTCGCCTAGGCACCTACACGCTGGTCATGCACTTCACACTCCAAACAACTTATTACAAAGAGTGGAAGCTGTTTCCCAACCGCCAGTTTCTGCCAAGACTCCTCACAGCCATCATGGCGACAGTCGTGCTGCTCCCCCCCGTCCGCCAGATCCGTGGCCGGATCCGCCTGTCAGCTGAGGTGCTGCACTACATCTCTGCGCAGGGCGGGGGGGCGGCAGTTGGGCGTGCGAGGTCAGGAGGTGAGGTGAGGCGAGGCGAGGAGGGAGCTGCTAGGGAAGGCGATGAAAAGGCTGTGAAGGGAGACGTGCACAATCGTGCACAGGTGACCAAGAGAGGTTAAGTGACGGAGTTTGGAGTTGGGTGTTGGACGGAGTCATCAAACCTCTGTTGGGAGTTGGACGGAATCCAACTTGTGAATGTATGCCCAGGCCATCCGAAGCTTGCAACATGTTTTAGGGGCCATCATAGGTTGACTGGTCATAAACACCGAACACCTTAGCCGCCTTAGCCCTATAGAAGTCCAGTTCGAGAGTTCGAACATAGTTCGACTCACATCTTCGCACCACTGAAGTAAAGGACGTATCGGAACCGCGGACCACGAACGGTTGCGAGGGATCCGAGGAGCCGCACGGGTGTTGTGTGAAGGTTCAGCAGGAGTGGAGTTCTCAGGAGCCTGAGACCCCCAGCAAAACCTCCGATGCTGCAGGTTCCTATCACGTCACCGGAGTGAGACTTCCCTTGCTTTTGACACCTCGACCCGGCAGAATAGAAGTACATAGAACATAGAAGTACTCCAGGAAGCTTTCACCAAAAGACGCTCCCCAGGATGGCACTCATTTGGGGCTTCCTGCGGGTCTTTCGTCTCTTCTCCTCCTTCGCCTCTCCCTTCGCCCACCCCTCTCCCGTGAGTCGCACCGCGCCTGCGCTCGCGGGTGGCTCGAATGCCTTGAAGCTCCCGCCGTGCGACGACGAGCGTGCGCGCCACGACGAGCGCCCGCGCCGTTCGAGCTCGAGGCTTGGAACACTTCCTGCAGGGCTGCGCGGATCATTTGGTCCTTGGAGGCTGGGACACAGCACCACCCCAACCGAGGCCGCGGGATGATCACCTGGTCCTGGGTTCTTCTTCTGCTCGTGACAGGATCGTGACGGAACGAAGGAAGGATCCCCGTGGTTGGTTGCGGTCACCAGTTCGAGGCCTGGTTGGTTAGGGCCGGCTCCTGGTTCTTCAGTTGGGGATTCGTGACCGAACGAAGGATCCCTTGATCCCTGGAAGTTCGCTTCGAGGGCTTGAACTTGGAGGCCTGGAAGTGAGGTCACTGCATGGGCCTCGACTATAAAGCTTTCGCCCAATGGGAGCCTTCTGTGTGGGAGACCTGTCACCTGGGAGGCGGCAGACATCGGAGACATCGAATTGACCACGCTTTGTGGGTGTTTTGGTGTTGGCGAGCTAGTTTTGCTGATCCAAGGAATGACTTACCTTAAAACCGCAAAACACACGGTCTTTTGTTTGAAGGCACTGCTGTAGCGAGGAGCGCATTTGCAGTACCCTGGATTTTTTCGAACACGAAACGGATCAAAGATCTCTCAATGGAGCTTCCATCCTCCTCCATTCACCAGCTAGCAGTTGAGTTTGGCCTGTCAAGTGCCTCCCCTTTGTTGAGCCTAATAAGAGGGGCTGATGAATTGGTTTACAGTCGCTGAAACAATCACGGAAGTGGACCACCACCTTGTTTGTGGAGGACATGCCATCCACTCAAGGTCCACTTTCACTCCTTCAGGGGAGCGCAGCTTCGTAGCTCCCGATGCATGGACGTGCCATCGCCGCGACCACCGAGAACACCAAGAGCCTCACCTTCGTCCACCCTTCGCGACGCCGCCCCCCAAGAAGAAGCCACCCCGACCTAAGCTGGGCGGGCGGTTTGGGGGGCGGTTCGATCGATCCTCAGCCGCCCGCGAGCGCGCGTTTGCGTGCGATGTGCGCGGTCGCGCGCGAGCGCGGGATCGCGAGGGCATCTACTCCTCTGCGGACCCTTCTTCAACGGCGAGGCGCCGATGGACGTCGGGCGCCGATGGATCGCGGGTTCGGGGGCGGGCGGTGTGCGGGGCGGTGCGGGGCGGCGGCGCCGGCGATGCTGTGAGATGCTATGACTATGAGGTTGGACAAGTTGGCGACCAAACAAAGATGTTTCTTTTTTCTCACGAGAAATACCGGTCTGTCATGGTCTGTCCTATTAGCCCTGTAAGAGTCGGAAAACCAATATCACTGATTTAGAGAGGAAAAAACATCATCCAGTCACTGGGCCGTGGGTATCGTGGGATATACCAATGAGATACTATTTGAGAGAGAAAACCTGATCATCCACTGGGCTCTGGGTCCATGGGAGATATACCGATATTACCCCAAGACATTCCTTTCAACTTCCACGGACGAAGCTGATCAGAAGTGGATCCAGTGAACCCTGAAGCAGCCAAGCAGCCAAGCCAACGATTGAACGTCACCACCTTCCTGGGTTTCAAGCGTTTATTTTTGCTGACTGTTTTGTTGGTTGGTTGGGCAAGGCTGTTGAACCCGAAGCCCTGAACCCACATCATCTTCTAAAACATCCACACAAAAGATCGCGCAGGAACATCGACTCAAAACATCCACCCATCCACTCTCCCCCCCCGCAAAGGATCCCCAAAAGGTCAAAAGGGGGCCATAAAATCACCATAAATCCACTATAAAATGAGGCTTTTCAGGCGGTTTTGAAGGGGGCCCGAACTCCCTTCCGCCACGAGGGTCCCACCGGTGGCGCGGTCTCCGCTCCGCGCCGACCTCCGCGTCGCGCGGCGGTGCACGTCGCAGGCGCCGGACTCGCTGCTCGTTTACGACGCCGCGCTGCGCGACTTCTCGGCGGCCAGGCGCGGCGGCCATCGGTCGAAGCGGAACGGGGAGCACGATGGTGGTGGTGGTAGTTGTTGTTGTGGTTGTTGTGGTGGTTGTTGTTGTGGTGGTGGTGGTGGTTGTTGCTGTTGCTGTTGCTGTTGCTGTTGCTGTTGCTGTTGCTGTTGCTGCTGCTGCTGCTGCTGCTGCTGTTGTTGTTGTTGTTGTTGTTTCCCCAAGCAGTTTACTGCTGGGGTTCTCCCTTAGGGAAGAAGACACTGGTCACAGCCTCTGGCCGTCCGGGTGTCCTCCAGTTGCCCTGTGCCCTTCTGTCGTCCTGGTGCAGTTCTGAGTTCTGATATCTTCTGATGCGTTTTCCTTGCCCCCCCAGCTCCTGGACACCAGTTTCCTGCTTCCCCAGCTCCTCCCCCAGCTTCCCTTTTTACACTTAAGATTGGGTTTGAGTGAGGCTTGGGAGCTTTAACAACACATATTTGGAATGTGTGAGAAATTCCAGTCGATTGGGTTGCTATCCGCTGTTGGGGTGCAAAGCTGGGTTAATCAACCATCTCAAGCAAAAAGGTTCGTTAAGCCGGCCGTACGTGGGGCGGTCTGGGAAATAGAACATGGTATTCGCATGTATTTGCACATGTCCCAACTCCCCCCATTGTGAACCAACCTTCTTCACGTAAAGAATCTCAGCAGACCAGTTGTGACCAGCATCTCTTTCTGTTTGGGGTTCATGCGATCAGTTCCTGACCCGGTGTGCAGTCGGGAGCAAACCACCAGGCAGTCGGCCATGAGATTCGCAGGCTGTGGCCATGACATTGTTTGGAGGAAGGAACACACTAGTGACTAGTGACTAGAGCATACTAGAGCACTCAAGCGTGCTGGTGGTCGTGATTCTTCTTCCTCACCTTTTGACATGGCCACACCTTTCTCCGGCGCCAGGAAGTTGCATTGGGGCTTCGACTGGCACGTTTGTGGCGTCGACTGCGGTCGCGGAGTGGGGTGCCGGGGTGACGGGGCCCACTTCGTGTGAGTGACATCGTCCACGTTTTGACGTGGTGAAACCGCTTCTCTGCGTTTTTGACCGCAAGTGTGCAGGCAGGTGATGAAGAGCTCAGAGGTCTTGTCTTTTTGAAACAACGAGTAAGACCTGTCTCACTGAGTAGAGCTAGCAGTGAGTAGAGCCCAGTGAGAAAAAGGATTTCACCGGTTGGATCCCTCCATTTTCAGTGAGGTTACGCTTCGCAGGACCATTTCTCCTGCATGATGTGCGACCCTTGTACCAGCACGGGGTCTCCATTGAAGGCCCTTTTGAAGGTATGCCTGTTGTTTTTGTTACATCTTCAGGAACACCCTAGAAGCAACCACTCATTGCGACCGGCCCGGAGAGAGCATTTCTGCGTGCACGTTCGCAAGGTCGTCTATTGAGCTGGCCCTGACATGCCCGAGGGCTCCAACCACATCCTCAGAAGGCGGTTAGACCCAGCCAAACCCACCCCAACCACCTTGTCAGGAGGTGGTTGGAGCCCTAGGGATGATAGCCAATCCAGGGCCGCCAGGCTGAGTCCATTTGATTGGATCTGAACCGTTTGAATGAATCCAGCAACAGTTCAAGAAGGATCATCCCTGGGTTGTTTGAATATGTTCCATGCATCCTCATGCCTTTGTGCCTGTCCCGCCTGATCAATCCTTACGAAGCCCAACGAAGGCATGGCACACGCCGTGTCCTGCTCCGGGTCGACCCGGCCGCCTTGCCAGGCTGCCACGATGTGGCACAGATCCTGGCGTTCGGGCAGAAGGCACCGAGGGGGGGCACCTGGCCGGCCGCCCCACCGAGGCGGCCCCCCGGCCCTTGCTTTCGCGAAGGCCAATGTGAGTTGAACCAGAGGTGAGCATGAAAGGATACTATAGGCCTGGGGGCATCTCACATGGCGGAAACCATGTGAGCCTAATAGCCGATAGGGCAGGTGTCCCCAAGGAGGTGGAGGGCTTGACCTCCAACTTCTTGGAGCACTGGGGGACGACTCCTCCGCCGCGTTTCCCGCGGCCGTGAGGTGGGCCTGGTCTCGGTGGCCCTGGAGGAGACGGACGGTGCTCGGGAGCCCGGAGGAGGGGGGGCGAAAGGCGGAGGTGCGGGGGTGGGGGGTTGGACATTGGCTCTGATCGAGGTGGCACCTCCATCGCCCATCGGGGGGTGGATGGTGCTTGGGGGCTGTGCTTGGGGGGTATGGCTGCGTCTGGATGAGTTGATGAGTACTTCGAGGGATTTCTTGGAAGATCTTGGGAGAAGGGGAAGAAGTGGAACGTGCCACGTTTTTGGAAGGACGTGGCGACTCCGTCCGAGCGCTTCCCGCACATCAAGAGCAACGTGTTTGTTTGGCAACCTGGAACTTGCATCCAAATATGGAGGCCCCTGGGAGTTAAAGACCATACCCTATAAGAATCCTTGGGCTGGCAGGGGTTGGACTCGACACCGAAACGCAGGGGTCGGCCGAACCAAACCCTATCTGCTTCGGGCCCGGATTCTGAGGGTAAGAAGAACGGTCTGACTAGAGGACCTGAAAGGCCATTTCCTTTACTTCACTATGCGAATGAAAAGTATACTGTAGTCTTTGGACTTCTAGGGGATGGAAAGGCAATGAATCCCCTCCTTCAAGCATGCGTTGAACGTTGGTTCAATACTAAGCCCTAGAAGTCCAGTTCGACTATATTTTGACCGGCTGAAGTAATTTAAAGGAAGTTCCCAGACTCAGTTCCCCGTTCGTCAGACCATTCTTTTTAGAGTCTTTGACTCCCAGGGTAAGTGAACGTCTTTGGAAGAGTTGGGGCTGCCCCCAGGTGGGCGGCCACAGCTGGACGCTCCTCGTGCTGCGGCGCGAACGGAGCTCCTCGTCCCCAAACGAGCCTTCGACCGGTCGGAGCGTACGGGGCGGTTTGGGAGGGGACGATGTCGGGACCACCGGCAGGGTACGGTACTCAGTACTCGTTTCCTTTGTTCGTTTCATGCTTGTGATTCTGTGAAGGATGGTTTTGGCTTGGTTTTTGCTGGTTTTTGATCGATTTTTGCTGGGTGGTTTGAGGCTGGGGTGTGCAGCCGACAGACCCACAGCCAGTTTGTGTGAGTGCTGACTTGCAAGAACACCGAGTTGAATTGATTGACCTCAGCACCACAGGCTCACGAGCAAGAAAAAGAAGCTGATGCTTCCAATGCTTCTGAGGGTTTTATTTCACTTTGCAATTCCATGAACACAGGTTTCGCGCCCACGCCGCTCTGCGTTTCATGTCCCAGTTTCTGCCACGAATTCCTCTCAGCCAAGCTTCGCTGGACGCAGCAGACATCCCAAGAATTCCCTAAGACAGATTGAACTTTTGTCGAACTCTCAAAACCAAAGACACCCATGTGGACTCAAATCAGATCTTAAGTATTCTCAAGTCGGACCAGGGGCTGTCTGGAAGTGATTGCACGAGAAGATTGGCAATGCTTGAGTGTAACCATTCTGCTGTCCCGCTCAAGCTAAAAAGGTCTAGATGCCATGCGTTGGGAATCGTTGTGCCTGGCGCTGATTACTCAGGTGCTACAAGCTGGGCTTAAGAGTTCCCCCAGCACGGTGTGCTATCCCGAGACCCCTGAGGCTTCAGTGGACGCCAGGTGCCACTGCAGCTGCTACTTCCTGGGAGAGGACCAGGCCGTGATTACCTTGGGCTGCGGTGGGGTGATTGGTGCGCTAGGCGCTTCAGTGGCCTGTTGGTGCACGGGTTCCCAAACTTCTCCGTCATCGCCTCATCCGCGACGGCGGGGCCATGGCATCCTTAGCGAGCCTTCTTCCTGGACACACCCTCGCAGTTTACTACAGTGATGATGTTGTGTGGCATGAAAGACTAGTGCTATGGCAGCTGAAGCCTGGTTTTTGGTTCATCCTCACCCCTGATCTAGATCTCTATGCTGAGGACTTGCGGATGATGGGGGGAGATGGGCCTACTAAGGTAAAGCTGAAAGGTCATGACTTTCGTTACTGGAGTAGAGTGGGTGGTGCCTCCTATCGCTTTGCAGCCCCCCTTGACGGTGAAGATCGACTGAAGGGCTACATCCGGCAGGCTTTCCAAGAAGGCCTTCAGGCTCCAGACTTTGATCGAGCGTGGAGGCCAGCCAACGTTGTCACCGTGCAGGGTGCTCTTTGTCCCCTTCAGGACTACTTAGGTGACTTGGACCCGGCGGCGCTTCGTCGTCGGATCAATGGGAAAGGTGGGGTTTTGCAGCACGCTGGCCAGCTACCCAGCGGGGTGGTTGTGAAGCCCATCGAGCCACCCCCGGAGGACAAAATTTGGTTGGCTATGGAGAAGATAGATGAATTCCATTTTGGTCAAACTGTAGAGGTGATTGATGATCGCAATGGATTGGTGAAAACTCGTAGTGGTTGGGTCAAGGTAGAGCTTGTTGACGTTGCTGCCTCCCCAGAGTTCTTGCAGAGCCGACGGCCGGCCGCATTGAAGCCCACGACTTTGGGTGGAGCTGGAAGTGATGAGCCTGCCGGTGACAGCGGCGGGGATGCCAGGACGCTGTTTGTCGACTTCGATGAGCAGAGCATTCGCTACAAAGAGTGGCGCCAGGTTGTGCATGAGTGTGTCGATTACAGTTATGAAGATTGGCCCCACTCTGGACCAGCCACCGTGCATCATCTGTTGAAACACTTTCTCAAGTATGGGGGGACCCCAAGCAGTGGTTGGAACTTTGGTGCCGACAGAAGGGAATTGCAGATCAGGATCGTGTCAAGCACGAGTTGAGGTGCCTGATGGAAGTCTTTCACCTGGCGGGCACGTATGACCAACTCAACCTCCCCGTGCTTGCCTCCATGGAGACAGTGGCCAGGCGGGTCCAGTGCATCGTGGATGCCTATTCGTTGGGGGGCTCATCCAATCCAGACTGGGGCAATGCGAAGCTGTTCACCGGATATGTTGGTCCAGACGATTTGGTGATGCCCCAACTGAAGACGTGGGCCGCCCGAAAGGGCAAGGAGGAGGTGGAGCTGTATCAAGCAAGGAACCGCATGAAAGAGCTCAAGAAGGCTACCTCGCCGTCAGATGAGGCAGCTGCAGCTTTGGCCGATGGAAACCTACCGAGTGGCGGCCCGCCCAAGCCCAAGCGAAGAGCAAGGGGCAAGGGGCTCGAGCCGCCAGCGAATACATGAACCAGGAGATGGGGGAGGGTGCTGTCGGTCCAGGCCCCTCTCCTTTGGCTTCCTCAGGACCTGTTTCAAATTTTGTTGGTGACGTGATGGACACGCTTTTCCCTCTGCCCAGGCCACCTCCATTGAAGATGATCAGTGGCCTTAGCAGCGGATGCCGCCAGAGATTGGCCAAGCGTGTGAAGCATCGCCATGACTATATCGAGATGATTTCTTCTCTTAATTGGATGCATGTTGGCGACTTTGACGCCCAGCCTACTTCGGGACCGTCGGCTTTGCAGCTGCGGGTGCTCAGGCGATTGGATGAATTGGTTGGGCAGGTGGACTACTCGGACTTACCGGGTGGGATGCCGTCGCAGGAGGCAGCCTACAAAGAGCTGCTCCATGGGTTGGACGGCTACTGTGAGCCATCCACTCCAGCTTCTCTCGCGCCCTTCAACCTCGAGCTCATTTCGCTGCCTGGCGACCTTTCCACTGCCCCTGCGGCACTGGATTTGCTAGACGGCGATGACCGTCGATACCTGGAGGTGCAAGAGCGCATGTTACGATCTGGCGATCAAATGGTTTCTGACTCACACATTTCTCCTTATTGGGATCCTGCTTTGAAGAACAATCAGCGCAACTATAGGAAATTCATCCACAAGCTCAATTCTGTTGGATACCTGGATTTCACCCTGTCCCCTTGTCAGCATGCCGGTGTGTTTTTCGTTTGGAAGAGTGATAAGCAGAAGATTAGGATGATCATAGATGCTAGGCCCGCCAATGCAGTTTTCCAAGAACCCCCTGGTGTTGCTCTTGCCACAGCCGAAACATTCTCCAAGATTGAAGTCGACTTTGGCATCAGAGCCACGGGCCAGGCAGAGCTTCTCGGTCCCCCCTTTGGACTGCATGTGGGGCTCTCGGATGTGAAAGACTGCTTTCATCGGATCCGGCAGCCACGGTGGTTGTCAAGATACTTCTGCCTGATGCCGATCGAGGCCAGACACGTTGGACTCACGGGGAAGCTGCTCGATGGTCAGGTGCTGCAGTCGAGCGATCTAGTTTATCCCATGCCTGGTTCACTTTGTATGGGGTTCAGTTGGTCTCTCTATTTTGCACAGAGGATTAGTGAGCGGCAGATGTCACTTGTGCCTTCGTTGAAGGACTCCTCGCTGGTCAATGATCGATCTGGGCCAGCGGTGTTCCCGGCGGAGGCACCCTCTTCCATGAAGCACTTTGTGTATGTTGACAACCTGGGGGTCATGAGCGGTAGTGTAGAATGTGTTGCCCAGGGCTTGACTGGGCTAACAGAGCAGTTCACCAACCAGAACCTCCTGCTCCATCCAGGCGAAATTCAACACTCCAAGATCACAGCCTTGGGGATTGAGATGGATGGTCAACAACTCCTCACCCGCGTTGCCACCGGCAGGTTTCATCGTGTTCGTCAAGGTCTCCGACACCTTCTTCGATGGAAGCGCTGCACAGGCCGGGCCTTGGAGGTTATTGTTGGTCATTGCACCTATTGTGGGTTGGTCAATCGTTGCACTTTGAGTGTGTTCCACAATGTGTACAAGTTCATCAAGTCTTCATACACTACTTCATCTAGTTTGTGGCCAAGCGTACTGGCCGAGCTCAGGGCTTTTGCCGGGATGATGCCGGCGCTCAGAGCAGATTGGTCCAGAGCTTGGAGCAGAGAAGTGGTAGTGTCTGATGCTAGTGAAGAAGGGTTTGGTGTTTGTCGCACTCATTGGGATTCCTCTTCAACTGGTAGGGTTGGTAGATGCAGCGAACGAGATCGATTCAAACGAAGCGGTGGTCGCAATGCCAGAGAGTCCGCGTTGTCTGCAGCGGGTTTCGTCCGGGATGAGGTGACTGGGCGATGGATCTCCGGGGAACTGGGGGATGAGGATTATTTGGAGGCAGCGGGTTGGCGGTTAGATGCTTCTTTCCCTGAAGTCCCTGCACACCAGCTGAAGAGCTCTGAGTGGGTCGTCGCGCGTCAGGCCCGCTGGAGCCGACCTGAACACATTGTGCACTTGGAGGCCCGGGCCCTGGTGAAGTCAATGGAAGTGGCAGTGCACGATTGCGGAAGCTTCGACGCTCGACAACTCCTTTTGGTAGATTCGATGAGCGCTGCGCTGGCTTTCGATAGGTGTAGGAGTCGCAACCACAGGTTACTCAGGCAGATACGAAAGTTCTGTTCCTATTCTATTGGATGCAATGTGGGGTTTGCAGTGCGTTGGATACCTTCGGAGATCAACCCAGCTGATGAACCCAGTCGAGTGTTCCCAACAGTTCCACAGACATGCAAGAGTAGGTTACCTCCTCACCTTCTGAAACCTCTGAGCTATGGCGCCAAAGAGAAGAGCGGTGTTGTCACCTCCCTCATCGGCCCCAAAGGCAAGCCCCCACCGCTCTCGGGTCCTTTCAGTGCCAACGACGGTGAAGCAGTCAGACAAGCGTCTCAAAGTACAGAGCTCGGTGCTGCAGAAGCCCCCGAACGCGGCAAAGTTGATGCAGCCTCCACCTGTCGAAAGGGTCAAGCTGGAGGAAGTCCCGGACACCATGGGGAATTCTCGCAAGAGGCAATTGTCCGACAGCGAGGACAGCTCGACCAGCTCGGACCGCCCGGGTCCCTTGAAGAGACAGCAGTTGTTGGCTCGCAGGAGCAGGAAGCGCTTGAAGAAGTACGTGGACGAGATGATGGAACCCACGTTGCAGGGATTGAGTTTGTTGGAGAGAAAGGCAATCAGTGCCAATTCAGAACGGTACTACAACCAGGAATACACAGCACTGAAGGGCTACATCTCCGCTCGGCGGCTCGGCTTTGTGACCACGGTGCAAAAGGATGTTGGGATCAATGCATACTTCAACCACCTTTTCCTGGAGGGCTATCCAGCTCACCGAGGCGAAAAGATACTGGCATCGTTTATGCACCATCACCCGGACTTCAGCCGGTTTGGATCGCAGAGACTTCCTCGGACTTATCGGGCCCTCAAGGGCTGGCGAAGACTGAGTCCAGGAACCTCGCGAAAGGCATGGCCCCTGTCCGTGTGGAGTGCAGTGGCTTGCGAGATGAAACGAGTAGATCACCTCCAGATGGCGCTGTTCACCATGTTGGGCCTGGCGTCCTACTCAAGACCGAGCGAACTCCTGAGGTGTCGAGTCTTCTCCCTTGTCAAGCCTACGCCCTCAGTTACCGATCACTGGTGCTTGCTACTGAACCCAGAAGAGCGGCCAGAGAGGTCCAAGGTGGGCGAGTTCGACGACTCTCTTGTCCTCGACTCAGCTTATCTCAAGCCCTGGGCTCCACCGCTGTTGCGGCACCTGAAGTCCAAGCCTCCAACCAGCCTGTTGTGGGACTTCGACTATGGTCAGTATACGAAGGTCTTCGGCCAGATCGCCAAGCAGATGAATATAGACCTCACTCCGTATCAGCTTCGACACTCAGGACCAAGCATCGACCGAAGCAAGAACGTTCGATCGCTCCTGGAGGTTCAAAAGAGAGGCCGATGGAAGTCACACAAGAGTGTGGCAAGGTACGAGAAGTCAGGCCGACTTGCAGCCAACTTCCAAGCCATGCCCTTGACTCTGCAGCAGCACTGCCTTGCCTGCGAGGCACTTCTCGGGGATGTGTTGCTCGGCCGGGCCC